AGCACCTCGTGGATTTGAACTGTCAACCTCTTCGTTAGCAGCTGTAGCTCTTAACCACTACACCACCAGGGTGGACTCAAACCTCCAAACGTTTGGTTAGCAACTAAGAGCATTAACCATTTGCACCACCAGGGACTCCTCAGCTCACACTGACTTCCTAACAGGGCTTCCAACAGGTTCCTTTATGTTCAAACCCTTGCTGAGAAATTGCATTTCAACCAAGTTCCCTGCTGACAATTTGCATCTCCACCCCAGATATAAGGAATCAGAATCCACATTTTAACAAATCCCCAGTAGATTGTTATGTATAACTTCCTTAGAACTTGTGAGAAATGCAAATTCTTAGCAGGGGTTCAAACCAGACCCAGTTTGAAGCCCTGCTTCCTAATAACATTCTGTTGCTAAAGCCAGGAATCTGGGAATAATTCTTGATTTCCCCCTCTCTTACATACCTACAAGCAAGTAATCACCAAGTCCTGTTGATTTCTGCTTCTGAAATTCAATTTTCTCTAGCTCTCTCCTTGTCCACTGCCACCGTCCTGGTCCATGCTACATCATCTCTGGCCAAGATTACTGCCAGAGACCCTGAACCTGTCTCCCTAGATCCATTCTTGCCCCTCTCCAATGGACTCTCCTTGCAGCATCCCTGCCTATCACTCCAAACCTAATGCCACCCGGGACTCAGGGTATGGTATGGGAGAGGGGGGTGGGGTGGGGGGGTAGGGGTGGGGAGTCAAAAGGAACTACTTATGAATTGGATGTGGGAAGGGAGGGAAAGAGATAAATTAAGAATGACTAGGGTTTTGCTGGAGCAACTCATGGGAGTGGTTTATTTACCAAGATAAGGAAGAATGGAATCACGTACAGGATTGGCTGGGGGCGAGGTGGGAGGGGTGGTGGTTGGTCATTCAGGAGTTCAGTGCTAACCCTGTAACACCAGTTAGCCAAGCAGAGGTGCTCTATATTTGGACAGAAATATTGGACACAGACAGTTGTTGAATGAATGAATGAATGAACCAAGCTAGGCTACCAGAAAAGCAGCCAATTTAGGGGGAAAGATTTGGTAGAATTGTTTGGCTATTATGCGTTTGAGGGACCTTGTGATATCCTAATGGAGATATCTGGTAATATTTGGATATATGGTTCTAGAGATCAATAGGGAAATTAGATTAGAGGGTCATCAGTGAGAATTTAAAGTACGGAAAAGACTGCATAGGGAGACTCCTAGAAAATTGAAATATTGCCATTTAACATTTTTCATTCAAAATAAAATTAGTTTCAAAATAAAATTAGTTTTATTGAGTCTGATATGGGAATATGTTTAGTGGCATCCTTGGCTCCACCCACTAGCACCCTTCCCGAGTTATGACAACCAAAAATGTCTCCAGACGCTGCCAAATGTCCACCTGAGGGGTGATGGGAGGAGGAACCGTCACTATTAAGACTACTGGATTAGAATGTCAGTGGGAACACTGGTACTTCTTTTTAGCCACGGAAATATTAATATTTGGGTATACTGGAGCAAAGGAGCCTTGGTGGCACAGTGGTTAAGTGCTCGGCTGCTAACTGAAAGGACTGAAAGGTCAGTGGTTCGAACTCATCTGCCACTCCATGGAAGAAAACTGTGGCAGCTTGCTTCCATAAAGATTATAGCCTTGGAAACCCAATGGGGCAGTTCTACTCTGTCCTATAGGGTCACTATGAGTTGGAATCGACTCCATGGCAATGAGTTTATATTGGAGCAGTAGCAACCTAACAGTAGCATTCTGAGCTTTTATCCTGAAAAAGGCTCCTGGAGAGGATTTTACAATAAAGCAGGCTGTGTGGACCCCAAGTGTGTATGTAGGGCAGGAAAGAAGAGGGTCAAGGAGAGCCCACTGAGGTATAGTAGTAGGAACCACAGGGCAGAGGAAGGAAAGGTTGAGCATGGTGAGCGGAGGTTTCATTCTGTCAGCAGCCTGTGGTCTTTGCTCAGCGTTACAGACAGCCTTTCCTCCTGCAGCAGTCCTGTTTGCCATCCATAGGCTGATGGCTTCGGAAGAAACACTGAAATGTTCCCAGCATTGCAGCAACTGACAACGGATAATTTCCTTTGAGAAGACTCTGTGCAATTCACCTGCTGCCCCCTAGCGAGGCCGCATGGTGATGCCTGGTAAATTGTCACAGTTCTCAATTCTGGTTTCAAGGCTGAACTGTCAAGCCAGTGCTGAGCTTGAAGAACAAGGCCCAGAGGGGACCAGGGTATGTTGGCCTGCCTGCCAGCATCCTTGCTCCAAAGTGCATCCCTAACCGTCATTAGGGACTTCACAAGTATGGTGGAGGAGAAGGCACAGGAGGTCAACCAGGACGGGGGAGGTACATGGACAGGGCAACACAAAGGCAAGACCATTGCAAAACGTTCTCAAAAAGGTAAAAAATGGCCTGGTGAAGAGTGGGCCAGGGTACTACTTTGACCACCAGGGGGAGTGCTCTCCGTCGCCTTAGGTGGGAAGTGTCTTCATACGCTGCCCACAGCTGTTGCTGTTCTTGATGCCCTTTGCTGTATTAATTTGTGAACAATAGCCATTCTGTTAGAGACACCAATTAAAATGCTACTAATACAGACCAACTCTGTACGAGTTGCAGCTGAAGACAGAGCATCTATTTTTGTGTATGTGCCAGGAAAAGAAATGGTAAGCATAAACAGTGGAGTTCCTTAACAGATTTAGAAATACTGCCTGGTAATCTTGTCCCTGAAACACAGCAATTGCATGTGGGTGGGCAGGGCCATGGATAGAAAACAGTTCTCTGAGGCAAGTGTTAAAAGGATCCCATTATCACCAATGTTTTAAAGGTCCCTACTCTTTGTACTTCCTTAAAGATGAAATCTTAAATTTAAAAGTCACACATTATGAAAACAAATTCATATTTTTATAAGATTTATCACAATTACCTTAAGTGGAGTCATCCATAAAATAAAAAACCAAAGCACGTGCTGGTAAGTTGATTCCGATTCATGGTGAACCCATGCATTACAGAGTAGAAATGCTCTCCACAGGGTTTTCAAGCCTATGATCTTTCAGAAGCAGGTCACCAGGTCTTTCTTTTAAGGCACCTCTGGGAAGGTTCAAACCACCAACTTTTCAGTAAATAGTCAAGCACTTAACCTTCTGCACCAGGCAAGGATTTCAGAGTTATACGTGTAGTTGTTAGTTTTGCTGTAAAGTTCATTCCGACTTGTGGAGACTCATAGAGTCCACCTAAAATATTTTTTGGTTTACCAAAACTCAGTTTATTCATAATACATCTACATCTATATGTTACAGATATCTACATCTATATTATATGGAGTCCCTGAGTGGTGCAAATGGTTAACATGCTCAGCTGCTAACCAAAAGGTTGGAGGTTTGAGTCTATTCAGAGGTCCCTCAGAAGAAAGGCCTGGCTATCTACTTTCCAAAAAATCAGCCATCGAAAACTGTACGCAGTGCATGTCTACTGACACACAGAGTCGCTGAGTTGGAGCTGACTTGACGGCAACTGGTTGGTTATGGGTGGCGTAAATGGTTTGCACTTGTGTGGTAAACGAAAGGAGGTTCCCCGTTCGAACACACCCAACAGCACCACACAAGTAAAGATGTGGTGATCTGCTTCCATAAAGATTACACCCAAGAAAACCCTATGGAGCAATTCTACTCTGTAACACATAGAGTTGTTGAGTCGGAATCAACCCAATAGCACTAGACAACTATAAAAACCCCAAACCAAACCCATTGCTGTCAAGTCAATTCCAACTCATAGTGACCCTATAGGACAGAGTAGAACTGCCCCACAGGGTTTCCAAAGAGTGGCTGGTGGATTCAAACTGCCAACCTTTTTGTTAGCTCACTACAGCTCTTAAGCACTGTGCCACCAGGGCGCCAGACAACTTTATATACATATATAGCATAAAGCAAAATCCTCACGTATCTGCATGTGTTTCATTCAGGTTAAGGTCTTAAATAAAGGATTTTGAGCAGAGGAGAGATTGTCTTTTGTTAAAAGGATTCTGGCTGCTGTGTTCAAACTACATAGAAGACCAAAGTGGAAGAAGGAAGAACCAGTTAGTAGGGTACTTTAATATTCTAGGCAAGGTGCTGGGGGCTCTGCTCAAGGTGGTAGCAGTGCAGGTAGTAATAAGCAGTCAGATTCTGGTAGATACTGAATGCAGAAACATAGGATTTGCAGATTTGGTCATAGATTGGATGGAGGTGGAGAACACAGAAAGATCAGGGATGACTCTGAGGTTTGGGACCAAGAAACTAGAAGAATGGAGGTGGTATCAACTGAGATGGAGAAGGCTGGGGGAGTAGTAGGACTGAGAGAGAAAAGATATTCTGAGTTGGAGATACCAAGTATAAGATTACCCGTTAGACAGTCAAATGGAGATGCTTAGTTGGCAGTTGAATGTGAGTCTGGAGTTCAGGGGAGAGATCCATGCCAGAAATATCAAAGTGGAAATCATCAATATCTAGCTAATATTTAAAGTCATAAGACTGGATGAAATCAGTGAGTGAAGGTGAGTGAAGTTAGAGAAATTCCAAGGATGGAGTCTTGGGTACTCTAAAGTTTTAAGAGGTTCAGAAGAAGAGGAGGAGTCAGCCATGGAGACTGAGAAGGAACACTACAGTGAGGCAAGAGAAAAATGAAGAGTGAAGCCAAATGAAGACAGTGGAACAGGAGTGATGCATGCTGTGAAGGTGGCCAATTTATCTGCTAAGCATGGTTATGATCTCAACAGTCTAAGGGGCAGGCGTGTAGTACACTATGGTAAGAGGTACACATAAAGACTTGGCAGAAACAAACAAATCCTGGACTCAGGGTCGACACAGGAATGATGGTGAGAGAGAAGAAAAAGTGAAAATAGTGACAGGAAGTTAAGAAGGCTATTGCTATAAAGACATAAAAACAATAAAGTGTAAAATAAACTAAAAAGACACACTAGAAGGAAAATGGACATCCTTGGCACAGCTTCTGAGTACTATTGAATTCGCTCACGTCTCCTTTACTAAAAAAAGTCTCTTCAACAACTATAAAATATAAATCTCATGAAGCACTTAATAAATTGTGAATAAACATCATTTTGATTTCTTGAAATGTTGAGAACTATTTCTATCATCTAAGTAAATTAACACCAACACTTGCATATACAGTGGGTTGTGCAACAGGGTGAACGTAATTAATGTCACAGAGTTGTACCTGTAAAAAACAATGAAGTGGCAAATATTTTGTTACATATATGCTTACCACATATAAAACGATCACTCCACTAAAACAAAATAAAACAAAATAAAAACCCCAGAACAAAGCCTTTCATGCTGGCACACCTACAATCTTTAAAAATAATACTGAGAATTCAAGCAATAACCTATTTCCAGGTATTACTTAAAGTATCTGTGAGTATTCCTGTGTAAGAAAAACCACCGATAAGCAGAAACCAGAGCAAATACAATTCTTGCTATGAATTTTAAATTATTTATTTTTCTGTTCTAGAAGTTTTACGCTTACTTAAAGCCTTATGGTGTACAGACTGCACATTGACAGTTTATTCATGATATATTCTTCAAATTATCCCCTACAAAACTAACTCCTTCTAAAGAATGATTTCAACCATACTGACGATTTAAAAACATTAACAAGTATAAAACAACATAAAAACAAAAAATCTTTGTCATTCAGGAGAGTATTTTACTGTGAAGTTATCCTCTTTAAACATCTGTGGTATCAGTTCTGGGTGAACCAGGATGGTCGCTTCCGGTCTCGTTCAATGATCCTCTTGCCCTGATCTTGTTCTGCTGGTGTCTCCCCCGTGTACAGAACCATTGTCTCTGTGGTAGGAGCCTTAAAAGGACCCCCTTCCGCTTTCCCTATTTGTTTTCTGATTTCTGCAGTCTCCTTGCGCACCTTCTCATAGCAATAGCCACAAAGGACGTGTTTCTGTTTCAGGTGACCACATTCAGGACAAATGTCTATATTATGCTTTAAAAAAATGAATAAAAACATATTTTAACAAGGTGTATTATAATGCACAAATAAAAATTGACAGGAATGATGCTTACATTTTCAATCTCTGAGAATGCTCATGTTGCATGAGTTCATACACCATCTAGTTAAATAGGGAAACTGAGGACAAGCAACATTGAGTTTGAGTTAGTAGAAAAATTGGAATGAGAACTCAGGCCTACCGACTTTGAATCTGGTACATTTTAAATTACACACAGCGGTCATACTTATTTAAAAAGGTGTTCTATTCCTCTGAACCTCAAATAAACCAAAAGCAACCCACTGCCATTGAATTGATTTCTACTCACAGAGACTCTATAGGACAGAGAACTGCGGTGTAAAAATGGCATGGCGGAGGTGTCTGACCACCTCTAACTTCACAAAGGGGAAGGAGAATCAAGATCAACAGCCCAAGCCTGAATCTTATTAGGTGGAGGTCAAACATGCCTCCTCTCTCTGCCATCTTTACTAATTCTGATACGAACTGCCCCTCCCACGGTACTCTCTACTTCTCTGCTGAGTTCAATAATTCACTGCAATGGCCATACAGAACTCACAGACAATACTCATGATTATGGGGATTATTAAGGAAGTAAGAGGTTACAATTCAAGTTCAGGAATGCTCAGGATACAGTTCTTCCATCAAGACAGCCTCTTCTCAGCCATGCCCGCAGGCATGCCTCTCTCTGGCCCGGCAGCCTCTGCCCTGCGTTTACAAAGCAATTTTAGCTGTGCCGATAAGTGCTCTGAAGCACCTCACTCCACCAGTAAGCCTCAGCCCGAAGGCACTCAGCTGTAGCTCTGCGATCAGCAAGCCTAGCTCCACCAAGTGCCCGGAGACACCTTACTCCACCAATAAGCCTCCTGCCCGAAGGTGCTCAGCTTTCTCGCTCTGTGGGCTCCTGGCCCACTGCACCATCTCTTGTTAATCTCCTGCCTCTGTTACCGCCATTTCTCTGCCATCACTTCTGTCTTTGGTGTTACAGCTCTCTCTTTCGGTCTCCTGGTTCCAGGACCTTTTCAGCACAGGGATCCTGGGTCCAAAGGAAACACCCTGCTCCTGGCTCTTCTTTCTTGGTGGTAGTGAAATACTCTCCTCCTGCCTCTGGGATGGCTCATTTTAAACATAGTGGGATGGCAAAACTGACCAATCCCTTTGTTAGGGTTCCATATACCTTATTTGAGGAGTCTCACCCAGTCATTGTGTGTCAGTCACAAAGACTATGGCTAGAAGGGCCATATTAAGCAGTTCATTGAAATGCATGCCCCATAGGGTTTCCAAGGCTGTGAATCTTTATAGAAGCAGACTGCTACATCTTTCTCCTGTGGAGTGGCTGATGGGTTCAAACCAGCGACCTTTTGGTTAGTAGCTGAGCACTTCAACCACTGTGTCACCAGGGCTCCTTTAATTCCAAATACTAAATATCTAAAAATTAGTACACCAACACAATGAGGTAATCCATACAAACAGCAACTTAAGGAAAAGACCAAGGAAAAGTGAATTCATTTTTTTTCTTTCAATCAATCTTGGGGAAAACAAGATCATAAAAACCGTATGAGTTGGCTTACCCTGCTTTATCATAGTGTCATCTAAATTCCTGTAAAAAGTATAAGTTTGGTATATGGTGAAATTCTTCTTTTTGTAAATACCATGATTATTCCTTAATTGTAAAACTCCCTTGTCATAATACATTTGAGGGTATTTTAATGAGTTTTTATACATATCTATTCAACTTTATAGATCTTTGGGTGGTGCTAATGGTTCGCACTAGAATACAAACCAGAAGGTTGGTGGTTCAAACTCACCCAGTAGCTCTGTAAAAGAAAAGTCTGACCTTCCGTAAAGATTACAGCCAAGAAAACCCTATGGAGCTTGGTTCTACTCTGTAACACACGGAGGCACCGAGAGTTGGAATCAACTTGATGGCAGTGGGTTTGGGTTTTTTTGATCCAACTTTAAATATAAAATAAGTATAACACAGCACAGCTGCTGTGGAATGCCATGAACTAAACAGTAATTGAAATCATGACTGTTAAAGCCATGAATTAACAGATCAGCAGTAATAAGCACTTTAATTTTTGTCCACTAGATCAATGAAGAGAGTGCACCCATGTGTGGGTAATCTGGAATTGTCTGATTAGGAAAAGTTCAAGAAAAAGAACGTGGGCTCAGGAATCTTAGATAGCCTGAGTTCAAATCCTGGCTACACCACTTAATAGCTGTGTGATCACAGGTAAATTCTTTTTGCCTCAGTTTTTTCATTCTAAAAACTAGGAAAATGTTAACTTACTTTGGAGGGTTATTGTGAAGATTTGATGAGATGAGACACATAAAGCACTCAGGTACTGTAGGCACTTAATGCATGGACACTTAATGCATGTTAGCTATTTTTATTACTTACCTAAGGATTTCTTTCATAATATTTTATTGGACATGGTGAAGAATATTCTATTAAATAATAAATTAATATTAAATTTAATTATATTAAGTATTAAATATTTGCACTAGTAAAACCCAAGATCCAATATACTTGTCTCTAATTTTAGATGCTGCCAGTTAGATGTTTACCCATATGTGGTTCAAAAATCACAAAGCTCAGGACTGTCCAAGCTCATAATTCCAAAGCCACATAAGGGCTTTATAACCAAGTACTCTGCCCCATCTCCAAACTAGCTTCCTTGATTGTGTTCCTAATATTTAGGCTAGAGGACAGTAGACATACATCATCTGAGAATATTTTATTGTATTTTATTTAGGCCAAAAGAAAGTAGACATATAAAATCTGAGAACAATTTATAGGCTGTATGGATATCCCATGAGGATGTTCACCAGCAGGCCTGAGGAAAAGCACACTGCAGTGCAGTGAATTACTTAATATGGCCCTTCTAGCCAGTCCTTGTGACTCCCACATGACTGGGTGGCAGCAAATAAGGTGTATGGAATCCTAATGAGGGGACTGGTCAGTTTTTCATTCTGCTAGGCTTAAAGGGAGCTGTAACACAGAAGACAGCAAGAGACAGCAGCGCAGCAGTAGCAAGAGTGACAACGGCATGAGACGGCAGGAACCAGAAGACCAGCACAAGACAGCTGCGGTGGGGCTTGCGGACACACAGAGCTAAGAGTTGTTAACACTTGCCCGAACAGGCCCTAAGCAGGACCCAGCAGCAGAGGGCGAGAAGAAGCTGTCCTGATCAAGAACTGTATCCGGAGTTGTTCCTGTTACTTCTGAGTCATTACTAACCCCGAGTTGTACCCTGTTACTTCACTAATAAACCACTTAACTATAAGTATAGCTTGTGAGATCTGTGAGACATCAGTGAATTATGGAACCCAAAGACCAGAGGGAGAGTACTGAGGGGAAGAGGGGAAGTAGTTCATGGTAGAGATGATGGAGTGGCACAGCAGTCTGGAGAAACTGGACATTTGGGACGTCTTTAACCTCTGCCTCATAGGAGCCAGCTCTGTGCTAATCTTTATAAGACAAATTACTCATTTATTTGGTGTCAGATGGTGGGATTTGCTGCACCAGCCCAGGTTCACTGGAATATGTGGTTTTGGAAAAAAGGGGCTAAATGGGGAGAATAAGAAACCTTTGGACGGGATAAAAACATCCATGGATTGAAGCAGTTGCAGTCAGTCACCCAAGGAAAAGCTATTCATGGGAAGTAGGAGTGGTGGATCTAACTCCTAAAGAATTGGCTAGTTGGATGCATAAGGAAATACAGAGTGATAGGGAAAGGGCTAGACATACAATTCCTTGGTTGCTGTTATCAGTAACAGCTGCAATGGCAGGGAAAAAGAATGCACCGGCAGACTGTAGCGCTGAGCCAAGCCTAGATCCAGTCTGGTCAAGGCTACAACTGGTCAGGGCTACAACCAATAGTCTCCTAGGGCTGACCCAGAAAGGAAAAAATCATGTCAAAACAACAGAAAGTACCCCTATCACTGCTGGTCACCAAGAAGGTAGTCCAGAAGGCGAATGGGCAAAACCAAGAAACTACTGAAACTAGGGTGTATAGTGTAAAGGAGTTGCTTCAATATGTACATCAGTATTGTCAGCTTTCTGAGGAACCATTACTAAAATGGACTGTGAAAGTGACTAACTTAGGAGCAGTGTCTTTAGTTTTGAATGCTGGAGAATGGAAGAGTATGTTTGGGTTGATGCAAGACCCACAACTCACCATGGAACAGTCACGAATAATGACACAAGATCCAGTTACAGAGCAGGTTAACCAGGAGGGGACAGCCAGTCTGGTGGACTGGATAAAATCTGCAGTGAGATTTGTTTACCCTGAGAAGGGAAACTGCCCCTCTCCCCCTCTAAATATCCAATAGAACACTCCAAAGGAAACTGCTGATGTGCTGCTTATGCAAGCCATGCTGGAATGGCTTTATGGTGATCAGGATATGTATCCAATGAGTATGACCCTTACACAGGTCATGGTAAATATGGTAATCAAGAGAGCCCCTTCTACTTGGGCACCCCATGTAACCTTGCTACTGTGAAACAAAGCAACAATCCAAGAAAACTTGTTAGATCTATTGGCACAGCTTCCCCGCATGAGTCTTACAGATGCAAAAAACAAAAGGATGATTCGTAGGAGAATGGGAAGAGGCAATGGGGAAAGAACTTACCCCAGCAGGATGGAGATTTTTAAATGATTAGCAAGAAGTAGGATGAATACAGCAGACACTGATAGAGCTGAGACAAAGGTTCTAATGCAGCACTATGGGTTTGGTGGACCAACAGAAACTCCTGCTGGTCCCCCAGTGTTTAAGAGGCATCAACAAGCCTGTTCTATTCACCCTACTTGGGAGGAATTTAATGATGGGAAGTCCCACTTGGGACAATTTGATGCAGATACTCAGCTAGTCAATCAAGATAAGGACTGATGAGGGGGCCAGGGTCTTCTGGTCCAGCCCCAAGAAGGGGACCCGAGGTCATATTCACATGTGTGAGTGAAACGGCCTGGGAGTGGGGAAGAGACCTTCTTGGGGCTTCTGGACACAGGAGCTCAATGTACTGTAATTCCAAAACCTGTCAATCAAATCTTGAAGGGGCCTAAGGTTAGACTGGGGGGATGTAGGGATGCAACAACGGTTGATGGGACTGAGGTGAAAGTTTGGATGAGAACGGGAAGATTTAAACAGATCTTGTATGAAGTAGTTGCATCTCCCCTACCTGAATGTATTATTAGTATGGATATTATGTCTAACTGCAGAAAGCTCCCTCTACCTGATATTGTAAAACTGAAGGTGTGTAAGCCTGCCCTTAGGCCAGTATTGACTGGATGTGCTAAATGGGAATCATCAGAATTGCCCAAATCCACCCAAGTTGTTCATTTGAAACAGTATAGGATATCTGGTGGACAAAAGGAGATTACTGCTTTGATTAAAGACATGCTAAAGGCTGGAGTGCTGATGCCAACAAATTCTCTATAACAGCCCTGTATGGCCCATGAAAAAGGCAGATGGCTCACGGACAGTAGACTATCAAGGCCTGAATAAAGTAGTGCCACCTGTGGCTTCAGTTGTTCCAGACACGGTATCAGCGGTGTAGAAAATACAGCAGGCTAAAGGAGACTAGTACTCAGCGACTGATCCTGCAAATGCCTTTTTCCTGATCCCAGTCTTGGAAAAGAGCCAGCCACAGTTTGGCTGCATGTGAGGATCCCGATTTACTTTCATTGTATTGTCACAAGGTTACTTGAGTTCACCGGCTTACTATCGTAGTTTGTTTAGAAGAGACTTGGAAGTGCTGCAGATCTCAAGCGCAATGTTACACTAAACTGATGATCCTATGTTAATATCAAACACCAAAGAACAGGCTAGGGCTGATTTGAATACAGTGGTGACCCATATGATCAACAGAGGCTACTTAATAAAGCCAGCAAAAATCCAGGGCCCTACCCAAACGGTGAAATTCTTGGGAATAACTTGGGCAGGAGCCACTCCTGATATTTGGAACGCAACCAAGAATAAGTTGCTGTTGCTACCTACCCCCAAGACTAAGCAGGAGGCCCAACATTTGGTTGGTCTATTTGGATTTTGGAAAACGTATATTCCACATCTGGGGATATTGCTGGCTCCCATCCATAAAACCACTCAAAAGAAAACTGAGTTCGAATGGGAGCCAGAAAAACAACAGGCTGTGTCTGATTTACAGAAAGCAGTCTCATTCTCCCTGCCTTTAGGCCCTTAAGATCCACACTCAGACATGATCTTAGAGGTGTCTGCCACACATGCTTATGTAGACTAGTGCTTATGGTAAAAACCTGAGAACGCCGCCCTACAACGACAGCTGGGATTCTGGACTAGTAAGTTTTTCCAGATGCTGCAGCATGATACACAGTATTTGAAAGGCAATTACTTGTCTTGTATTGGGTGTTGATTGAGACTGATGACAGAAGGATATAAAATCATCATGAGACCTGAAATACCCATAATGTCTTGGGTGATGTCAGAGAAACACTCTAATAAGGAAGGTGGTGCCCAAAATAGTTCCATAATAAAATGAAAATGGTTCATACAAGAACAAGCTACTGGGGGAATGTGGGGAGGCACCCACTGTATCCACAAGCAGGTAGTCTCTTTTCCCATACTCCTACCCTGGAACCACCTGAGAAGTTGCCAGAGCCCACTGCTGCATGGACAGTGTCCTGTGAACAATTTTCTGCTGACCAGCAGAAGGCTGCTTGGTTCACGGATGGCAGTTCCAGGGTACATGGACATTTGATGTGAAAAGCTGCTGCATTAAGACCAGCAGATGTAAAGACTCTTATTTAAGAAGGTAAGAACAGGTCAGCTCAATGGGCTGAACTTCATGCTGTCTTCCCAGCCATGATGGAAGAATTAGGCAATGCAGAGAGCTCATATGTTTGAAATTTTACCGATTTATAGGCAGTGGCCAATGGCTGGCCACATGGTCAAGCAAATGAGCGATGGAAAATTGGACTATTAAGGGGACACCTGTGTGGGGCATGGACTTATGGAAAGCACTCTGGGAATTTAGAGGGCACATTAGAGTAGGACATGTCAATGACCATCAGAAGAACCCCCTTCCTGGATCAGAAGGTAATTGAAATCAGCAAGTGGACCTGTTGGTACGCTCACTTGAAGTGCCCAACTGGGTCCGTGAAATGGGGGTGCTACACCAATGCAGACACATCCCTCTTGCACTTTCTGAAGCATAAAATGCTAATAAGGATGACTCTATCTGCTAGCAAGAAAGACAGAGGTCGCAAATGGCTATGGGGCAGATTCTCCGGGGAGAAAGCCCTGTACATAGCTGGGAAGTTGATTATGTTGGACCAATCACATCGGTGGCACCAGATGGCTACAAATGGATCCTCACAGGAATAGATACTAACTCTGGACGGGGCTCTGCATATCCCGTGACAGATGCAAATGCCAAAAACATCATTAAGGGATTGGAACATAAGATACTGTAGCAATTTGGGCCACCAAGTTATATCTTATCAGACCAAAGAACACACTTTACAGCCCACAAGGTGCAGCAATGAGCCAAGAAACATCATATTAAATGGACATACCATGTTGTATACCATCCTCAGAGTAATGGTTTGATAAGAAAATTGGAATGGGCAATTGAAACATGTTATCTAAAACGGGGGGAGATAAAAGCATGAAAGGCTGGTTCACATGCTTTCATGAGTGTGTGCTCACACTCAACATGAGGGGGGCAGAGGGAGGATCACCACTGGACAGATTCCTGTGCTTCTCTGGGGGATGTGGGGAAAAAGGGGTAAGGGACGTTGCTGGTGCCACTGTAGAGCTCTTCCCTGTATCACCTAAAATTGTTTTTTTTTCCTATTGGATGCTGCGGTCCAAGTACCAGGGATGCAGCTGTGGGTGCCAGAAGCAGGGCTGATCCCTAAGCAAGAGACGATAACTATAGCCCTGAACCTGTACACCAGAATTCTCGAAGGCCTGATGGGATGGGTTATATTTTTCCCCCATTTGGCAAAACTGGGGTTAAGAATACTGCCGCATTGCCTAGTGGTCAGGACAGCCCACTAATGTTGTACCTTTGTAACCCTACCCAACATGAATGGGAGTAGACTGAGGGGGAAGCACTTGCTAGACTTTGCTACCAGCAATGTGGACTGGTACAGCAGCTGAACCTGATGTCCCTTCCCAAGGTGGAAAAGTTTGGGTAAAAATAAATGACAAATGGAAGGAAGGACAAATAATACCTGAAGACAAAGGAATGAATAAATGGGTTATGCAGTGGATGACATCTAACATTATGCTGATACCTCAAGAGACTCAGAGCAAGGGAATAATCTTTTCTCAGTTACATTTTATCAGAGGCCAGAGAGGATGAAACTGAGATGACTTTTAGAGAACTTGACCAGATCAGATGGATACCTGCAGCAGACCTGAATGGATGGTACCTGAGTAACTTCACCCTGCAGATTCTTGGCCTTACTGAAGGACTAACTGTTAATGACTGTTTTGGACCAGTAAAATGATTGGGAGGTGGAAGTTAATCCTTCAAGTATGAAAGGGCCAATGGCTGTAAGAGCCAGGGAGTGGTCTGTGGCTCAGTGAATTACTTAATATGGTCCTTCTAGCCATAGTCTTTGTGACCCCCACACAATGATTGGGTGCGACTATGCAAATAAGGTGCACGGAACCCTCATAGGGGTAGGACCATGCAAATTATGTGTGTGGAACCCTAACAAGGGGATTGGTCAGTTTTGCCATCTTGCTAGGCTTAAAGGGAGACATGGGAGAGAGAGGGAGAGGAGCTGCAACACAGAAGACAGTGAGAGACGGCAGCGCAGCAGTACAAAGAGCGATAGTGGCATGAGACAGCAGGAATCAAGAGACTGGCATGAGACGGCTGTGGTGGGGCTTGCCGATCCAGGGAGGTGTTACAATACTTCCTTGAGAAGGTCCCAAGCAGGACCCAGCAGCAGAGGGCAAGAAAACACTGTTCTGATCAAGAACTGTACCCTGGGTTGTTCCTGTTACTTCTGAGTCATTCCTGATTCTGAGTTGTACTGTTACTTCCCTAGTAAACCACTTAACTGTAAGTAGGGTTCGTGAGTTCTGTGAGACACTGCAGTGAATTACAGAACCCAAAGACCAGAGGAAGAGTACTGAGGGGAGAGGGAGTAGTTGATGTTAGAGATGATTGAAGTGGTACAACACGGTAGAAAAGTTGAACATTTGGGACATCTTTAACCTCTGCCTCAGAGGAACCAGCTTTGTGCTGATCCTTAGAAAAGGAATTAAACATTTGCATACCCACAAAAATTAATACGTTACCTTAACTTTAATAAGCTTTTGAGGGTTTCTTCTCCTACACCGGTTAACTTCAATACTGCGTCTGTTTTTGGGAGCTGCCATCCAAAAGATACTATCCAAAAGACTGGAAATCTCCTTACTTCCACTGCTATCATTTGCCGGTTCTCCAAATACGGCTGGGCCCTGGACTGCTAATGTTGGTCCTATAAAATAAAACATGGACTTACAGAATCAGTTTCTAGCTTTTAAACGACTATTTATCAATATTATTCTCCTTAACAATCAATAGTGACTATGCTGATATATAGACATGTATATATCATACATTTGTGTATATATATATACCACATAACATACATGATTTAATTAAAGATAACTTAGAATGTATTAAATTCAATAAAGACATTTAACAGGAAAACTTAGCAATTAAAATATACTAAAGCTTATGCAAGAGGCCATAAAAAACACCAACGGTATTTTTTCTTAAGAGGAACCTGCTGAAATGAGATCACTGAAATTCTATCAAGAGTTTCTCACCTCATGAAATACAGACCTAAGGGCTTTAGTAGCAAACATAAATAACAGTCTGAGAAGCACCCAACTAAAACAAAACAAAAAACCAAAACACAACCCCACCCACTCAATTTTCCACATTCTACTTGGTGGGCAGCGCCTAATTACTTTACAAAGAATATATGTAAGACTGACATTCCCAAAATGCACTTCCAACCCACACTGCCCATCTACCCTTTGTTATTATGTTCAAACTGGGTCAAGCTCCTTTGTCACATAACCTGGTAAAGACTTATGTCACTTAGGTGTTCATATTTAACCTTGATTCCTGTCTGTTCTCTAAGGTAAAGAGCTAGCTCACCACTTCTTTGTGTGATATGCATTAATTAATGTAATTATCAACATTTCACTTTATTATTATTTGCTTATAAAATCAGAGATTCCTTTATCCTTTCCTTCCTATTCCTCAGTCTTGAAATACTTCTCATTTTGATTTTAGAGGCTTTTAAAAATATGCAAAGTTCTTTAACACTTAACCATATTTTCAACATACTGTATCTAAAAGTATTGTTTAGTCCAGCGATTCAGAGCAGACTGGATTTGAATTCAGGCTCTGCCACTTTCTCTGTGTAACCCTGAGTTTAATTCAATTCTAAAGTGGAGATACCTAGTGAGGCCGTTGTGAAGATTATCCTAGGAAATAAGGCTTACTTAGCACATTTAGGTTCCTGAGCAGCACAAACGATTAAGCACTGGACCGCACCCTCATGAAACAGGCCTGGCGATTTACCTCCAAAAAGTCACAGCCTTGACAACCCAATGGAGCAGTTCTATTCCGCACACATGGGGTCGCCGGGAGACGGAATGGACTCCACAGCAACTAACAACTTAGCACGTTGCTTAGCATACAGTGGGCTCTCTGTTCGGACTGCCTGGCTATTATCACGTTCTGGTCTATTACTAGAAAACGTAAGATACCTTACCGATCGAGTAGAATGTAAACGTCAAAGCTACAACAATTTTGACGTCCAAGACACTTCCAATTAAAATTAATTCCCGGTGGAGACACGGGGACCAGACTTCGTCTTCACAGAGCTCCAACTCCACAGACAGGATAGTTTGCATTCTGCGTGTACTAACAGGTGGTGGAATGGAAAGGGCAGGTAGGACGGATACAGATAGCAGCGGGCCCTGATATCAAGCTAAGGCTATTGAATTACATTCTGTGCACGAATGGGACAATCAGAAGCTTTTTTTTTTTCTTTACGGGGGCGGAGAATGGCAAAAACAGGTATGTTGTTTCTAAGTAAGTGTCTGAACAATGTCCCCAACGCGCGGCCGCATATCAGAACACACAACGAGTGCACAGGTATCAGCTATGTCTACTGCGCTGCATAAGGTCCCCTCGCTCAACCAATTCCCCACCGCGACCTTCTTTACCTACCCCAAGGAGGGCTGGGAAAGCCTGGTCGGCTCTGCAGAAAGTTCCGCTGCAGCCGCTCCAAACAGTTTCGGAGCAGTCCGCCGGTGGACGGCCACAGCGGAACAACCAGCACCAGCATGCCACACGCCATCTTTCCAGACCGAAGATGACTCTCTCAGGGTTGTGGAGGCCTCCCCCAACATCGAGCATGCGCACAGACGCAGAGCCGGGGCGGACTTTCTCCTGAAACTACAAGGCCCAGCATGCCCCGGAGAAGCTCTGACTCTCCTCCAATCAGAAAAAGTGACGGGAACAGGAGCGGGGAGGGGAAACGAAGAGAGTCGGGACGTAGTGCGCATGTGTGCAAGTGTGCTTTGGCTCTCCCGGTAAAGATGGCGGAGCGTGGCTACAGTTTTTCGCTGACAACATTCAGGTATGGAAGGGACACCCATCGTCCTCCGTGTAGCCGAGGTTGCAGGAGCTCCGACGATCTCGTGTCTTCCGTCCTGGCCTTTGGCTTGGTGTTTCCGGAGGATTCAGTAGAGAATAGGCATGGAAATGTAGCTTTGCAAAGTCATTTACTGGGCCGGGCCTGGGTAGCAGGGGTACCGGGAGACCGCGAGAACGCGGGTCGGGGGAATATGGAGTGAACTTGGGGCGGCAAGAGGATGAGGTCCTAGCCAGAGATTCGCTTTCCTTTGGAGACCAGAGAGGAAGGCAGTCTTGGATTAGCCATCTCCGGGAGGTCCTTTCAGAATTCAGTATTTCCTTCTGACCCAGGTAGGCCTGATTCAGGAGCATCTGAAACTCGGAGTCTTGGTCAAATCTTCTTAGAAAGCCTCAGGGTCACTGTTTGTTAGGAGTCTAAGGCTCAATTTGGTGCGAATGTCTTGAAACCTGCCGCTTTCGGTTTCTTCCATGCCCTTACTAGAAGCACACGGACTAAAAATGAAAGCGCTAATCATTCTATCACTTTGTGCTTTCTGGGTCCCAAATTTCTAGGTTCCCTGTGCGTTTTGTCCACTTTTCTGGGTGGGGGGCTATACCCGTTGCCGTCCGTCGATTCCGACTCATAGCGACCCTGTAGGACAGAGAACTGCCCCATAGGGTATAGCGACCCTGTAGGACAGAGAACTGCCCCATAGGGTTTCCAAGGAGCGGCTGGTGGATTGGAACTGTCGACCTTTTGGTTAGCAGCCGAGCTCTGAACCACTGCACCACCAGGGCTCCGTGTGGGGCTATATATTACTTTAAAAAGGATTGCAGGCTTTTCTATTACAGAACAAGAGATTAAAGTAATACGTATATTTTTCAAAGTAGAGTTGAGGTGCATCATCGTTCAGAATGTAAAAAAAAAGTCACCGAAGGATGTAATAAATCAACAAGGGAAGGATTCTGATTTGACCATTTTTTTAAGGAGCAGAAATGCTCCATTTAGTTAAAATGTAATACTATCTCACAAGTAAAAGCAGGTGAGATTTAACCTTTGTTGAGTACTGTGTGAGTGCAGCTTAGTTTACTTCCTCTCTTTCCACAACTATGTATGATAAATGTCATCTCAGTATTTTACAGATGAGGAAAACACAGCTTAGAGAAATGAAATTTTAACTTGACCAAGGTCATTGATGAGTAGCTGAATTGGCATTCAAACTGGATTCTCTCTGCTGACAGAATTAATGCACTTTCCATTACTTTTTAAAATCCTAAAATATCCTCTTCAAAGTTTTCAGTAACAAGTTAGAGTATGTAATAGTTTTTTTTAAAAAAAACTTTGAATGAAATTAATTTAATTCTGCAATGAAAGGTCTTACATACTATTACATACTATGATGGGACCAACATATGCCGGGTACTTAGTGTTCATATTAGTGAGCAAAGCCAATGTGGTCCTTTCTCTCTAAGAAAATGTAATCCTGGTGGAGCTGAAACATAAAACATATATCCTCAGGAACTGAATCTTTTTATAATAAATTTCTTTATTAAAATAAACTTCCTCTTTTTGAGATCAGTTCATTTGTTTTTTAACATGATGAGTTCAACTCTATTGTAGATAAAAATAAAACATTTCTCTCTAGCCTGTTATTACAGGATTTCGTGAGGGGGTGACATGGTAGAAAAGTAGAAAAACTGCTTAGGCCATATTTCATTTATTCTGGGTGGAGATGCTGGTGCTTTGGAGTGAGGGCAGTGGTGTGATGGAATACAAAGATGCGCTAGGTTGGCTGCTCAGTGAGCTCTCAGGTTAGTGGGGTAAATTGGCGTTTGTACACAGAAAGATGCAGTGGCAGAAGTTATGCACAGGTGGCCACTGGAACAGAGAAAAGGGAATCATTAACTTTGAGCCTTTATAGTGTTTCACAGAGACATTTGAACTACATTAAGCACTTGGTTACTAACTGAGAGGTTGGTGGTTCACCCACACGGTGGCTCTGCGGGAGAAAAGAGCTGGTGATCTGCTCCCATAAAAGATTCCAAACCAACCAAACTCATTGCCGTTCATTTCCAGCTCAGAGTGACCATATAGGACGGAGTAGAACTGCCCCATAGGCTGTAATCTTGAAGGAAGCAGAGTGTCACATCTTTCTCCTGTGGAATAGCTGGTAGGTTCAAACCACCATCCTTTCAGTTAGCAGCCAAGCATTTAAGCACTGTGCCACCAGGGCTCCTCTGTAAGGATTACAGCCGAAGAACCCCTACGGGGCAGTTCTGCTCTGTCACATTGCCTCTCTCTGTGAGTTGAAAGTCAACTCTACAGCACCTAACAACAACAACATTGGAATCAACTCTATGGCAACTAACAACAACGTTGAACAGTGTTTGAAAGCTGGATCAACCCAGGAGGAAACAGTGTAATTACTGAAATAAACCCACCGCCGTCGAGTTGATTTTGACTCATAGTTACCCTATAGGACAGAGTAGAACTGCCCTAGAGGGTTTTCAAGGCTGTACATCTTTATGGAAGCAGACTGCCACATCTTTCTCCTGCAGAGTGGCCAGTGGGTTCGAAGCATTGACCTTCTGGTTAGCAGCTGAGCGCTTTAACCACTGTGCCACCAGGGCTCCTTAATTATTGAAATAGTGACCATCAAAGAAAAATATAGGCTAAATTTTAAATTTAAATACCTACTGATGTTACTCTGCTCAAGTCAATTACTTTTGTATTTTAAGAATCTTTAAGTCTATTGCTCTTAGGTTTATTCCTTAAATAGGTTTAGATGTGTCTATATCAGCCAAAAGATTGTGAACTCCCAGTACTAGGTTATCTGATGGAATCCTGTTGAATAGAGCTTATGCTGTGTTCAGGAAGACAAATATTGTGAAAATAATTTAAGTATCTTAGCCAGAAAGTACAGGATACCACAGGTATGGCTGTGTGGGTATTTAACCAGTCTGAGGGGTCAGGAGCAGCTTCCCTGAGGACATGACATTTCCTCTGAGGAAGGCAGGCCAGGAAGGAGTTCACCAGGACTAGAACGAAAAGCAGTCCAGGCCAAAGGATTAGCTTGTTGAATGGACTTTTGAGGTCTCAACATAATCTCTGTCTGCAGCACGGTGGGACAGTGGGAGGTGAGAGCCGAGTGACAAAGGGAGTGTCTATAATTTTATGAAGATAAAACAGATAACCTTCTGAAACTTAGAGTATCTTTTCAGTAGTAGACAGGAGATAGGAACCTAGATATGTCAGTCTGGACAGATTACTTTGATTATGGCATAACTTTATTTGTAAAATAAGAAGATTGGTTTGTTATGTTTCTGATGTTTCTAACTCAGCAACTAGGTTGAAATAGGCTAGTTTGGGACTAATATTTGGTCACCAAACCAAACCAAACCCCATTGCTGTCGAATCGATTCCAATCCCTAGTGACCCGTTAGGACAGAGTAGAACTGCCCCATAGGGTTTCCAAGGAGCAGCTAGTGGATTTGAACTGTTAACCTTTTGGGTAGCAGCTAAACTCTTAACCAGTAAGCCACCAGGGCTCCAGTACCAGATCTATTAAGTAAAACCATCTCATGGCACCTGTAAATAGTTTTATTATACAGTACATACTTTGTTGAGAATGATATTTAGGTCTTACATCTTAGGCCATGTCCACTTTCTAAAACATATGGTCCTACATGAAGTATATGCTCTTGTCTGGTTTTTGACAGACACATACATGTTTTTAATAATGTTATTCAGTGTTTATTTAGTGCTAATTTTGTTCCAGGAACTCTTCTAATTGTTTTTATAGGCATTGCTTCATTTAATCTTCATAACAACCCTTTGAAATACATAACCATAGTATTCGTATTCCCGCTTTATAAATGAGAAAACCAAGACACAGGTTAAGTAACTTGCCCAAACTCCCAAGGCTGGTAAGTGGTGAAAAGAGGGAACATTAGTGATGCTGCTCAAAGATGCAAATGAGAGAAAGCAACAAAAGGAAAGGAAAATTGGTGCTTTGCTATGAATATGTTCGAATCACACGGTAAACTTTGCCTGTGGTTTCAAAGCCCAGCTATTCCTTGGTGTTTGATTAATGGGATTTGACCTATACAGAGATGTTCCTACAGTAAATACTTGAAAAATGTGCACTTAGAAAATACCTTTGCTTTTTTTTAAGCCCATCTGGTAAACTTGTCCAGATCGAATATGCTTTGGCTGCTGTAGCTGGAGGAGCCCCTTCAGTGGGAATTAAAGGTAATTAAATTTTGGATATTTACAGATATAGTTAAATAAAAGTTTATTAAATGCTTCATTCATTTCAAATGCTTGTTAGACCCGTTGCCATTGAGTCCATTCCGATTGATACCGACCCTATAGGACAGGACAGCGCAGAACTGCCCCCTGGGTTTCCAAGGAGCAGCTGGTGGATTTGAACTGCTGACCTTTTGGTTAGCAGCTGACCTCTTAACCACTACGCCACCAGGGCTCCAAATGCTTGCTAATAGTCCCCTAATTTCCTTTTGTAATTAATTAGTAAATAAATAGCTGTGGGGAAGCATAATTTTTTTAATAGTTCTTTTTACATTAATTTACAGTATTTTGAAGTTTAAAGGAAATAGTAATAGATCTAAGAAGGTGATTAAAAATTTTTTTCAAAAATAAATATAGCACTTTTTTTTATATTAATTGTGATAACCCACAAATAGTATTTCCCATTCAGAAAATGAGCATTTTGGTTTTCTACTGATTATATCACTACTGTCTGACAGTGGTTATGAGTTATGGTGAAGTAAGGCTGCTAACCAAAAGTCTGGCAGTTTGAATCCACCAGCTGCTTCTTGGAAACCCTATGGGGCAGTTCTACTTTGTCTTGTAGGGTCACTATGAGTCAGTATCGGCTCAGCGGCAATGGGTTTTTTTGGGTATAGTTTAGAAATGGTTAATTATGAAACTTAATCTAAAGGTATTATAATTGCATTATACCTTAATGCCTTTTTTCTTTTCAGTGTATAGCATTAGTTTTAAATTTTATATTGTAAGAACAGTGTTGTATTTTCCCAAGCAGGCAGAATTCCATTATTTTAAAATGTGGACTCAGGTATTTTAAGTACTTTAAGTACAATGGAAATCCTGGTGGTGTAGTGGTTAAGTGCTATAGCTGCTAACCAAAGGGTTGGCAGTTCGAATCCACCAGGCGCTCCTTGGAAACTCTATGGGGCAGTTCTACTCTGTCCTACAGGGTCACTATGAGTCAGAATCGACTCAACGACAACGGGTTTGGTTTGGTTTGGTTTCTAAGTACCATACTTTAAGAAAAGTTGTGTAGTACCTTTAGCTGTAGGAATTTCTTAATGTAATATAAATGACCAGTGAGGGAAAAATTGATTTACTGTTTCTTAGGTAATTTTGGTTTAGGAATGTAGCAGGAAGAGTTTTGTAAACTAGAGGAAATAAGAGAGTTTTGGTGAGATGCATCTGTAGTTAGAAAATCTTGAACCAGAGTCTTTGAATGATTAAACATTTAGTTTTTTTTTTTTAAGCTGCAAATGGTGTGGTGTTAGCAACTGAAAAGAAACAGAAGTCCATTCTGTATGATGAGCGAAGTGTACACAAAGTGGAACCAATCACCAAGCATATAGGCTTGGTGTACAGTGGCATGGGCCCAGATTACAGGTATTTTATACTATCTGTTTTTGTTTTTCTCACCATCTCATGAATAGCTCCTAACTTATACTTTGAGGAGAAAAATCAAGAAATTTTTTTTTTTTAAATCTCCTAAATCCTTATTTTTTGTGTTTTGCTGGAAACGGCAGCCTGTTTTCAGTTTGCTCATGTTGGGACAGACAAACATTTATTGACTAAGTTTTACTAAGAGAGAATTACTGACTAAGAGTAACTAAGTCTGATAACTCCATGTGACTCAGTTGTAGAAGAGGAGGTAGATACAGTACTTACTCTTATCTCTGTTCAGTGGTCTTTCCTTTCTGATCACAATCCCTCTTTTGCCATCCTAGGCTTGGCTTAAATGGCTTTAGTGTTCTCTAATACGTTTTAAAAGGAGCCCTGGTAGAGCAGTGGTTAAGCACTGGGCTGCTAACCGAAAGGTCAGTGGTTCAAACCTACCAGCTGTTCCATGGGAGAAAAGACCTGGTGATCGGCTCCCCGAGAGATTAACCCCTGCCGTTGAGTTGATTCCAACTTATAGTGACCTTATAAGAACAGGGTAGAACTACCCCATAAGGTTTCCAAGCCTGTAAATCTGCCATATCTTTCTCCTGCAGAGCAGCTGGTGGTTCTGAACTACCAACTTTTCGGTTAGCAGCTGAGCACTTAACCACTGTGCCACCAGGGCTCCTTTGTAAAGATTACAGCCCAGGAAACCCTGTTCTGTTCTGTTAAAACACCTGTTGCCATCGAGTCGATTCCAACTCATGGCGACCCTATAGGACAGTAGAACTGCCGCATAGGGTTTCCAAGGAGCGGCTTGTGGATTCAACCTGCCGACCTTTTGGTTAGCAGCCGCAGCTCTTAACCACTGTGCTGTGGTCACTATGAGTCAGAATCGACTCTACAGCACACAACAACAGCAATGCATCTTGATCATAAAAGCAATGTATGTTATAGTAAACTATATAAATAAAAGTATCAGGCAGCAAAGAAAGCATCATCACCAGAGTCAACCCCATTATCTTTGTTTCTGTTCTTAGCAAAGGAATGAAATTCTCAAAGGCCACTAAAGATTGCTGTGTATGTTAAGCAGTCAAGATCCAGGTGCTCATATAATCACTCCCTTTCCATTTCACAGGAAAAAAGAGGAATTATCTTGCCCAAAATGGTAATCAAAGCCGGATATAGCTGCTATCCTGATAAATCTGGGTATCATCAAGTTGAAAGAGATGACAGCTTTCTGTATTTATCATTTAGCAAGTAAAAGGAATATTTTATTGCTCTTGATTTTGTGGAGCAAGATCGGTGGAGGCAAATTTTCACATTCATGAGCCAGAAAAAGCAACAAAGTCACTGGAACGTGGTCAGCCTTCACTACAGTGGATCCTGTTATCACTATATATTTAGGAGGGATCTTGCAATGTGCTACCACTGATAGGAACAAGCTGAGAGGGATGGGGGATAAGGCTCATACAGAGGGGTATTGTGCATATTTCACATTGGTAGTACATGAGCAGGTAAAGGTAGACCCTCTTCTGATATATTTTCAAATTTATTAGATTATTATTTAGTATATTCTTAATATTTTTGGACAAATTTTACCTTTTTTTAAAGTTACAAAGTGGATTCTTGATGTTCCTTAATCTCTGAGGGGTATGCCTTGAAGTGAAAGCATAGAATTTAAAGCAGTCAATGGAAAGATTGAGCCAGAGTGAGAGATATACCAGGGAGAGAGAGAGAGAGAGAGAGTATGTGCGTGTGTGTGTGCGTGTGTGCGTGTGTTGGCTAGGGTGAGATACAAAAAAGACAGGTGGCTACCCTTGAGGTAAGGAGGACAATCTTAAGCCATGGAGGGACATAAAGCTGTCATTTTGTATACTAAAACTTGGGACTAAGCTCACTGGTACCCCTAGTCCCTGATTCTCTTCCTTTTGCCTTGTTCTTGTCACTGTCCTATGGCTTAGCTCCTCTGATGCTCTAATATTCTAAATCAACTAGACTCAGATCTGAGAGCAAGAATGGTTTTGAGCTGATAGCTACTATTAATGTGGTATGTATAAAACTTGTGCTGTAGGTAAATTACTAAAGAAGGAGAATGAATCTTTAGGTAGTAGAATGTTTTAATTAAATCTTTTTTTCTTCTCTGTTAAGAGTACTTGTACACAGAGCTCGGAAACTAGCTCAGCAATACTATCTTGTTTACCAAGAGCCCATTCCCACAGCACAGCTGGTACAGAGAGTAGCTTCTGTGATGCAAGAATACACCCAGTCAGGGTAAGTTCTTCTTACTTGACATGTGTTGTGAATTAGAAAAAAATCATCTTAAAAGAATAGATGTATAAATAGAAGAGTACTTAACTATATCCATATTTATGTAACAAGTAGAGAAAGTCACTATGACGAGCATTTCTGATCTTAAACTGAATCCAGAGTATTTTCTTAAAGAAAAAATGTGAAAATTTTCTTGCTCTTCATATAACAGTAAGAAAGCAGCTTCTAGAAATATGACGTCCTTTTACCAGTGGTTAAAATGCTTCTTTATGAACAGATAATCATTGCTGCCTTCAAATTTATCTTTCCAATCAGAAATGGTTGTAAGCAACAGCACTTTGACACATTCATATTCAGTTTAATTCTAGCATTCTTAAGTTTGGGTGTGAACATGGATAAGTTGGTATGAAGGTGGTTGTTGATATGTAAAGTAGCCAGTAGAAAAGCTACATTAATTCAGAGCTGTCATTTTGTTAGGACGCTAAATGCTACTCCACACTTTTTAACCCTAATGTTTTTAAGTGTCAATCCATTTAATCCAAAATGATTTGACTATTGTTCTTCAATACCATAAAGAGTGAATTTATTCATCCAGAAAATCATTGAATATATTTTTAGGGAACTTAAAAGTCAAATTCAATTGATACCTGCTTTACTTCAGAGTATTGATGAATTCTTACCTTAGGATGTCTTTCATACAATGAAGAGGCCGAGTAATGTTCATTTTCCTTTCTTCAGTGGTGTACGTCCATTTGGAGTTTCTTTACTTATTTGTGGTTGGAATGAGGGACGACCTTATTTATTTCAGTCAGATCCATCTGTAAGTATCATAAGATGTATTTGAAGGATTTTTAAAAGTACTATGTGAATATCTAGTAAAAATAGACAAAGTGTTTAAAATTTAGCAGTATTTTCTCTTACATTTGGACTTTAGAGAGTATAACTTAAAATTTTAATTTAGTCTGATAAGGAAACTACATTAGTTTTGCCATCCCTAGTTTTCTGTCTTGTTTATTAACTTTACATACTTGAGTAATATAATTTTTGAAATAGTTACTCCCAAATCTCTTTAAATCAATAGAATTCTGTTACTTTGCAAAATATTACAAATAAAGATCTGGGTATCTTGGGGCTAACTTGAAAGTGTGACTCTTCAAGCAAAAACATTGTTGTAATTGTCTTGAATTCACTGTTTTGCAAAATGATCATGTAACCAAGATCTTGGGTGAGCTGTCTGTTCTAAAGCAAAAGCTGAGTTAGAAGGCATTCATAGAGGAATTTTGTAATGTTCCACATCTGTCTCATTGGCTATGAGGAGAACCTTAAGAAAACAGGATTAGGAATTGATCTTTCATAATATGTCAGATCAAAAATGAGTATTGGTGGTTCATTAGATAATTACAGGATCACTCAATTTAAACCTTGTGATCTAACCTTATAATCTGGAACAGAGAAAAATATATTTTGGTTGGTTGTTACTTAAATCAGAAAAATATATATGTGGGAACTTTGATAGTATCTGTTGTCCCGTCTTTGAGCTTTTGAGGCTCTGGCAAGCCCTGACCAGGGTGTAGGGGTAGCCACCATCACTGGAATCCTGGTTTTGTTCCCCCCACCCCGCCTTTCTCTGTTGAATCTAAAAATAAATTGCTTCTTTTAAAATATACTTAGTGTGCTTCTTTCAGTACTTTTTCTGTGTACATTTGTATTTTTTCAAGAGACGAGGCCGTGTTATATATGGGATACGGCTGCTATTTTCATTTTAACATTAAATTACAAAATATCAAAAGCTTTGAATATTTTTAGCAATAAGCCATCTGTTTGTTCATTTAAAATTTTAATTTAGTCTGATAAGGAAACTACATTAGTTCTGCCATCCATTTTTCTGTCATGTGTATTAACTTCACATACTTGAGTGATATGATTGTTGAAATGGTTATTAGCCTATTAAGCTAAAGTATTACTCTTGATTATTTGCTTTAAGTTAACCTCAGTTTCCTTTAACTTTTTTTACATAATTTATGTACAATAAATTGTACATAGTTTAAGTGTACAATTTCATGTGCTTCGATAGATGTAAATACATGAGAAAACTGTCACCACAATCAAGATACTAAGCTTTTCCATAACCCCCAAAAGTTACCTTATACCTCTTTGTTGTCCATCGCTTTAACCTTTATTAAAAGTAGTCTGTTCTGTGACATACTCTGTTCCATCCCAGTAAAGATCTATGATGTTAGAATTTAGAGCCAATTAAAGAGCTAAAATATATATTTCCAGGGAATATAATTATATTAATGTTTTAAAATACAGTTTTTTCCTTCTTCCCTTCTGATTAGGGAGCTTACTTTGCCTGGAAAGCCACAGCAATGGGAAAGAACTATGTGAATGGGAAAACTTTCCTGGAGAAAAGGTAGGCTCACTATACTTAGGTGCATCAGTAAACTTCTTTTATGGTTTTTAGCTGTCTTTAAATTAATTAATGTCATGGGTTTAAACAAATTTTTTTATCTCGCTGTATTTGAACCTTATTAAAACAAACAAAAGAACTTCTCCACCCTGACTTTTTAGCCTTCAAATATATTAAGTGATAATATTATTTAATTCTTAAGGATCTTTCTGTAATCTTATGGTTGTTTCCTAAAAAAAAAAAAAAAAAATTTTTTTTCTTGAACTGCATTTTTCCTACCATCTCAAAAAAAGAATAAAAACATTGGATTTGGAGTCATATGAGAAAATGTTCTGTAAGAAAAAAATTTAAATGTTTTAAGTGACAACAGTTTACATCATGACAGTTAACAACAAAAAAAAAGTGTGAAACTAAATACCTGATGTTGATGGTGGATTTCAGATATAATGTATGTGCTTGATAAAAAGCAGGGCATTAACAGCATAAAATCTGCTATTAATGCCCTAGCACAGCAAACTGCTCACTTATTTCTAGCAGTATTCTAGATTTCAGCATTATTGTAAGTATACCAGAAAATGCTGTCTGACCTTTTGACCAATAGATGAACCTTCTAACTACATTGTTCACATAATGTTAAGATTATTAAAAATGTTGAACCTGGGATGAAATAGTAAAATTAAATAACTTTAGAATCTTAAAGTACTTTTCCTCTTACATATTAATGATTCTTCCAAACATTTTGTATGAAGTTATAATTTATAAGAACAGAAGAAATTTTAGCAAAAGTCAGATTTCTCTACCGTAGTTTTAAAAATTATTATAATATTGCTACCACATCCTGATTATATTAAAATATTTATATTTAAAGATGTTTCCTAAAATAAACTCATTTTCTGGTTACACTCTTTTCATGATGTTGAACACTAAATTAACTGTCAATTTTCTTATTTAGGGACAGCTTTCTCAGTGAGATGACTGAAAGAATTAATGTGTAACTTAGCATTTTTAAGAGTGTTTTAGATTTTTTAAAAATCTTAAGCTTTTGCTATTGCTAGCGGTGTTTGCATAGTCATAAAGAATATACAACAGCGCCATAACTAGAAAGTCACTCTTTTTAAAAAAAATTTTTTTTAGATACAATGAAGATCTGGAACTTGAAGATGCCATCCATACAGCCATCTTAACCCTAAAGGTTAGTTCAGTACCTAAGAATTGGATCTATGATGATTTTATCAATAACTGCTTGGAAAATTGACCATATTTCCTCCTTCATTAGGAAAGCTTTGAAGGGCAAATGACAGAAGATAACATAGAAGTTGGAATCTGCAATGAAGCCGGATTTAGGAGGCTTACTCCAACTGAAGTTAAGGATTATTTGGCTGCCATAGCTTAATAATGAAGTGACTGAATAATTTGGGATTTCAGATAATCTATCTACTTAAACATGTTTAAAGTATGTTTTGTTTTGCAGACTTTTTGCATACTTATTTCTACATGGTTTAATGGACTGATGTTTTTAAATTGACACAAATCATAATAAACTGTTAAATCTAACATCGGCTTTTTAGGAGTTAGTAAAATTTTAACATAGGTATTTCCTGCTTTTCTCACATTGGAAACTGCGTTGCAAAGCACATGGTGAAATTACTCTTTAGTCTTCTCACAATTCTGGTTAAGACAAATCTTGTTACCCTCTTGCTACCAGATGTTGCCTGTGTTTCAGTAAAGGAAAATGCTGATTTTGGTAAACATCACTGCTTTTAGAGCTAGGAGAATCTGCAGAATTTCATGGATTCATGAGACAAAATATGAAGCAAAGTGTTTTTCAGACATCTTAACATGTGGATTAGTGAAATCCTAGGATGCTCTGCAAGATGGCACTAGAGATAAAAGTGCTAAGCCACATTGGTCTCCTACAGGTTGAAGTATTATATAAGTAAATAAAAATTGGTTAGTTGATTCCCTGTGACTTCTCCATCACAGGAAGATAAAAATATTTTAAAAGGAGCCCCTAGATCGTATTAGACCTTTTTAACTCAGTGATGGAGTGCTGGAAATAAAACACTAATATTTAACAGTGTTAAGCCTATGATTTAAGGCTGTTCCCACATAATCTGTATAATATAAACTTCCCTATAAATAAGGTCTGGACAGATAAGTAATAGGGTATCTGAATTCTGCACTTTCGTTTTATGTGGGTATAGTTCTCAGTTTTCTTAGTTTTTTTTTTTTTTAAGACATCTTAGAATAACAAAAGTCATGTCATTAGTGTTACTTGCGGAATATAGGGAGAATTTATGAACGTCATTTTTACCAACATGCGGGGATAGTAAGCAATTCCATGATTTAAGTGTAGCTCAAAAAGATTTAAAGATTTTACTAAATTTAGGGGAAAAGAGCCTTATCTTGGAGCAGTTTTGTGACGTTTCCCAGTTCAGCTCCCTACCATCACTGGAACACCTATGTCTTGATATGGGAGGCAAAACATTATTATGAGAGATGGCAACTTGAGCCCTCATTTCAAGATGTTTGTCTTGAAAGCCTCATCTTATACTGTCTCCTTATGGCCTCTTTGCATGTTGTACCTCTAGCACACTACAAAGGAACATAGTAAAAAGGAATAGTCTTTGGAGTCAGGTAAGTCTGGGTTCTAATCTCAACTCTCCCACTTGCTGACTGAGTGAGCAAGGTTGTTCTAAGGACTAAATTAGATCATACAAGTGAGAAACGTGGCGTGGTTAATAGTTAAGAAGTCTTAAATTTTAGCTGCCTTTGGATTTGCTTAAACTAAACCCAAACCTGTTGCCATTGAGTCGATTCCAACTCATAACAACCCTACAGGACAGAGTAGAATTGCCCCCTAGGGTTTCCAAGGAGTGGCTGATGGATTTGAACTGCCAACCTGTCCAATATTAAAAACTGGAGGAATATAAAAAATATACAAATCCTACAGATCAATGATGGGAAAAGTAAATACAAATATATTTTAAGATAAAAAGGAAAACACAAATAATTCTCACTGGGTGCTAAAAGAATTAATCCTACAGAATAAAGGGAAGAAAAATCAGCTGAAGCAGATTTGAGTCCAGATTCTATTTAACATCTTCCTGTTGCCCTCATTAAATATGAAGCCCAACTCCAATGGAAGCTTCTCCCTTTGTTCTCAGTATATTCTTCATTGCCCTTAAATTTTCAGTTATAACAGTGCTACTCTCTGAACCATCTAACTAAACTTCCTTATTTCTTGGCAAAGTCAGTTATTTGGGCTGTCAACCCATGGCATCCCTAAAAGTTCCAAAACTCGAGTCATTTCTGGCTTGTGGATTCTAGCTTCTTTTCATCTTACTTAAGATCATAATATTCCTAATGTTCTCAGCCCCTCCTACTTTTGGTTCAGTTTGTCTTTTCACCCTTGCAAATTTTATCTCTACTTGTTCTGTCAACGTCCCAATTCCTCACTGAACCATGAATTTATATTTGCAAAGCAGTTATTAGCAAAGAAACAGGAAAATGCTTAAAATGTATATATATTTGAGGGCAGGGGTTGAGAAGGAGAGAGGGAAACGAGGAAGAAAAATAATATGGATCTTTACTGAGTGTGGACACGCTGGGTTCCAATTAGGTAATAAGGGAACAGCAAAGGAGTTTTCATCTATTGCTAAATTTTCATTGAGCAAAACCGCCAACTCTTAGTACTTAACTTCATCTCTTCATCAGGTATCTTCTTGCCAATCAATGCAGGCTCTCTGGGATTCCCACTGTAAAGAAGAGTAAACTGATGTTCAGTGAATTGCCAGAGAACGTGCAGGAGTTGGTTTAACTACCTTGGATTAGAATCCTAATTTTCTGAAAACCGGTTCAGTGGTCCTGTATTACTAACATTACATTGCCTCACAAGGGCCCCTCAAGTCAGAGCTCCTCTAGTCCTCAACCCTCCTTTCAAGGACCTGATAGAGCCAGTGGTGCAGTGGTTAAAATGCTTAGCTGCTAACTGAAAGGTCAGCAGTTTGAACCCACCAGCTGCTTCACGGGAGAAAGATGTAGCAGTCTGCTTCTGTCAGGATTACAGCCTTGGAAACCCTGTGGGGCAGTTCTACTCTGTCCTATAGGATTGCTGAGTTGGAATCAACTTGAAGGCAGTGGGTTTGGTTTGGTTCCTAAACATGGGCATATTTTAAAAGTAGATAACTTTAACACTTCATGAAAGTTCTATTCTCTGAAAGCCGTCAATTTTTAAGGTATTTCATCAGGTACCTGCCTCCATATTTCAAAATAGTAGATTTTGGATTCATGAAGATTACCCACTATGTATTAACTTTTTGTTCTGAAAGATGAGGATTTAGAACTCATGCCATCATTACTTCCCTTTCACTATCCTCTCAATTTAGTTAGATAACAATGTTTTTCTCACTATGACTGTAAATATACTATGATTACATTTCCTTTCCCATATGACATTTTGTTTCCTGGAGGCGATACTTCTTTGATAATTACCTTTTTTGTTAGCTTAACCTTTCTGTGGCTATCACTGATTCTTGCCAGATTCCCCAACAGAACTGTAAAACCCTCTACATATTATTTTCCCCATTGTCAAATACCAGGTAATCTAACAGTTCTCTCCCTAACCCTCCGCACACCTTCTGATCGGGGAACCCTCTGCCTTCCTCCTCTAGTCCAGGCTAGTGGCATGTTTGAAACTGTTTCTATTCTCCTGTCTCCCTTGATTGGTTGGGTTTGAAAGCATTACTCCACTTCCAGATTCCAGTATTGCTGATGAGAAGACTGATGCCGTTGTATATGTGAGGCCAAATTCTTTATAACTGTTTTTTCCCGCTGAATCTCTTGGCATCTTCTCTTTTCATTCCCATTGTTCTGAAATTTCACAGTGATGTGCCCTTTCGTGGGTTTCTTAATATTCATATGCCAAGCACTCATTCAGACCTTTCACTGTAGAAACAGATCTTTTTGTTTTGGTAAATTTTCTAGTATTATTTCTTGGTAAAGTTTCTTCTTTAATTTTCTTTGTTTTTGTTTCTGAAACTCTTATTAATTGGATACTGGATCCTTTTCTTATGTTTTTGCTCTATTTTTTATCTTTTCTACTGTCTAGTAGAAATTTTTTTTCTACTTTTCCAGCTCTTCTATTGACACTTTAAATTTAGGGTATAATTTTTAAATTCAAATAACTTATATTCTGCCTGTTCCTTTAAAAAAAATCCTTTTCTTTTTTCGTGGCCAAAATGTCTTCTATCTGAGGGTGCTAGTTACAAAAAACTTTAAAAAACCATTTTCTGCTTTGTTTCCTTAAACTTCCAGACAAAAATATTTGGGAATACCATGTGAGTGGGGCTCAGACCTACTTACTGGGGGACACTGAATGTCAGTATCTACAAGCCATTTCTCTAGAATATCATTTGCTTAATTTCTCCAGAGAATAGAGTTTTGAGGAGATGGTGGTGGAGGGGGAGATGGGGAGGTGCCAGGGATTCCAGCATTCTAGGAGGGGCAGAGAAGGGTCCAGTGGCATTTCACCATTCAATATGGAAACTTACTCTTGCTTCATAATGGCACCTCTCCCCCATCCTTTGTTGTGCCTGTGTCTGGGATACCCCTCCCTTTGCCTATCCTCAGCATCAAAAGCTAGTCTTCTGCCAGGGGAAGGTTGTACGATTGCCCAGCTGCACCAGACAGAAGAGAGGAATTGTGTGTTTGTTCTTTATACAGACTTTCAAGCAATCCCCATTTTCAGCTCTGCCTGACTGATCCTTTCCCTTCTGCCTTCCAGGCACCTTCAATTCCAGAGCTTCTCTGGGGTTCTGCTTTGTTAATCACCTGCTTCTTGATATTCCCTTCTGCAGGCAGTTTTCTTAGTTCTGCTCTTTCATTTGTAGAGGCTGCAAGAGTTCAAATAACCTGACTAACTTATCTGTAACCTTTCAGGTTGTTTAGAAGATCTAATAAATAAGAGTCCTTGGGCAGCACAAACAGTTAAACACTCAACTACCACCCGAAAGAAAGACTGATGGTTGGAACTCACCCACAGGCACCTGCTTCTGAAAGGTCACAGATTTGAAAACCCTAGGGAGCAGTACTACTCTGCACAAAGGGGTTGCCAAGAGTTGGACTCCTGGGCAACTATCAACAACAATAAAGCACTTAGAACAGTGCCTGGTATATAGCACTGAATAAGTGTTAGTCACTACTGCTCTTCCTCTTCCAAAAATGTGTTGACATACCTTGTCTGCAGTCATCTCTTTTTCTTTGCCTTTGTAGGCTCTTTTTCCATTCCTTTACTGTGTTTAAATAAGGTTTTGGAAAGGACCAGGCATACATAGGATAAATTATAACTTAAACAAAACTTTAATTTTTAAAATTAGCTTAGCTATCTCAAAGACCTTTCTGGGTGACTTTGGACACTGCTGCGCAAATATCAAGTTCCCCAGCCCTTCAGAAGCCACCAATTCTTTGTCCTCTTCAGAACATCTCTATAATAGCACACTTTCTATGGAGCCCAGTATGTTGCAGTAGAAAGTGCTTTGGCTTGGAGTCACAAATCCCAGTTCCAGCACTTACCACCTGTATGGCCTTTGATAAGCCCCAAGAGTCTGTTTCCTCATCTGTTAAAATGAGCCAAAAGAGATTTTCAGATAAATCTATTTGGCACTCGGTAGGACTATGAGCTTGATAGCAAAATTAAGTGTACTTGGCTAGAGCTAGGGAGTTGGGCACAACATGGATGTTTTCTCCACCAAAATGCACCGACTCCAGCCCCAGGCAAACTCCAGCCGCTATTGGGAGCTAAGGCGCAGGGTTATCCACTGGAGATCCCTGAGACACTGAGCGGCCGTACAGGACGGAAGCGGTCCCAAAGATTGAAGCCTAGCCCTGCAAACTCCGCCTCTGCTCCCTATCCTGGAGCCAGAAGGTGCGCGCCTCCAGGCTCATCCCATAACACAAGTAGAAGGCAGGTGCCCTCAACAAACATGGCTGCCGCCTCAGCGTCAGCCCCGCTCCAGAGGCCGCGTTGCCGCCTGGGAATCGAGGGCTTGGCGTTAGCCGGCCCGGAACCACGCGACGCCTGAGGCGGCAGGGCGGGCGCACGCGGAACAGTTTCGGCGGTGAGTGAGGTGAGGGCTGATTAGTGAGGTTTCCTGGCGGGTCTTGGCCTTGCGCGTGCACGCGCTTGTCTGCTCGCGTTCCGGGTCCTGGGCGCCGCTGGTGAGGAGCCGGGCAAGGAGGAAGAGGGAGGAGAGAAGGGGGCGAGGGAGCGAGGGCGCTCCTTCAGATGCCGGGCCTGGCGGGGAGAGTGTCCGGCGCCGGGCTCGGCGGCGCTCCCTTCACCCTACTTCTAACCCCTAGGCTAACAGTGGGATTTGTCTGACCTCACCCTGCCTGGCAGGGTCCAGCTGTGGAGATGGACGGGGCAGGTTCCGAAGAGCCGGTGCCCACCCGGAAGCCCCCGCCGACTTATGTCCCCCCGCCCCCGCACTGCCTGAGCTGCCGTCGCGTGGTGGGTTCTTAGAGTTTAGTTTTTCTTTGGTCTTTTCATTCGGAGAGTTCTGAGAGTCAAGCTAGTGGTCTTTTAAAAATATGCTGGGTTGACGTCAAACGCAGTTACGAAGCAGTCTTGATTCCTTAGTGTGCCTGCCAAGGGAAATCGTGAGGCAGCGGGTTAAAGGAGACCAATTTATGAAGGAGGAGAGGGTGAAACAGGCTAGCGGTGGTCAATTTACTTAACAGCTAGTCCGTCTAAATATTTTTATTTAAGCATGTGATCATGGCTTTCCGGCCTTGTGATGAGAATTTCTCTACAACAAACTGTAAAGGCGTAAGGGGTTTTCTTGTCTTCCAGACTGGGAAACTCCTGCATTTTATCCCGCTGTGGACCCCATGGCCTTCAAGCTGAAGAAATGAAGGTCTAAAGTGTGGCAGATCCTAAAGAAGAGTTAAAAATTATAGCTGTCATAATTTCCTTAGCTGTCACCAGGTTCATAGTCTCAACCTCCATAGTGGAACAACTTTGTTGCTAGATTGAAGTTTTTAATGGTTAGTGAAGAATCGATTACCATAATTTTTGAGGTCTGTTCAAATTTGCCTGTTTCTTTTCTTTTCGTAGGAAAGGAATAATGCTGACAGCATGTCTGCACACTCCATGCTCTGTGAACGAATAGCCATAGCCAAGGAACTGATCAAGAGAGCAGAATCCCTTTCTAGATCAAGAAAAGGTGGCATAGAAGGTGGTGCTAAGCTGTGCAGCAAATTGAAGGCAGAATTAAAATTCTTACAAAAAGTAGAAGCTGGGAAAGTAGCTATTAAAGAATCCCATTTACAGAGCACGAATCTAACACACTTAAGAGCCATTGTGGAATCAGCAGAAAACCTGGAAGAAGTTGTTAGTGTTCTTCATGTCTTCGGTTACACAGATACATTGGGAGAAAAGCAGACCCTTGTGGTGGATGTAGTTGCAAATGGTGGTCATACCTGGGTGAAAGCTATTGGCCGAAAGGCTGAAGCACTGCATAACATTTGGCTGGGCAGGGGCCAGTATGGTGACAAAAGCATCATTGAGCAGGCAGAAGACTTCCTCCAGGCCAGTCACCAGCAGCCAGTGCAATATAGCAACCCTCACATTATCTTTGCGTTTTACAACAGTGTCTCCAGCCCCATGGCAGAAAAGCTGAAAGAAATGGGCATAGCTGTGAGAGGAGACATAGTGGCAGTTAACTCTCTGTTAGATCACCCTGAAGAGCTCCAACAGAGTGAGAGTGAATCGGATGATGAGGGCCCAGAACTTTTGCAGGTGACCAGAGTAGACCGAGCAAATATACTAGCAAGTGTTGCGTTTCCAACAGAGATTAAGGTCAATGTGTGCAAAAGAGTAAATCTGGACATTACTACTTTAATTACATATGTATCTGCCCTCAGTTATGGAGGCTGCCACTTCATCTTCAAAGAAAAAGTACTCACAGAACAAGCAGAGCAGGAGAGGAAAGAGCAGGTTCTACCTCAGCTGGAGACATTTATGAAGGACAAGGAGTTGTTTGCTTGTGAATCTGCTGTCAAGGATTTTCAGTCTATTCTAGATACCTTAGGGGGACCTGGGGAGAGAGAGAGGGCCACTATGCTAATTAAGCGAATCAGTGTGGTACCAGACCAGCCTTCTGAGCGTGCCTTGAGACTAGTGGCTAGTTCAAAAATCAATAGCCGCTCATTAACTATATTTGGAACAGGAGACACCCTAAAAGCCATCACAATGACTGCAAATAGTGGTTTTGTCAGAGCTGCTAACAACCAGGGTGTTAAGTTTAGTGTGTTTATCCATCAGCCCAGAGCACTTACTGAGAGCAAAGAGGCCCTAGCTACCCCTTTACCAAAAGTCTACACAACTGGCAGAGAATACTAATGATAAGCCCGTGGAAATAAGTTATCTATGTACCAAAGGTTCGATTTTTCCATGTAAATTGGAAGGGGGAAAAAAGGTCTTTAGTAAGGATAATTATTTAGAACTCTCAAACCAGTAGTTTTTCATGTCTCATCTATATTTAAAGTGTATATAACCTAAAGTAGAAACAGCACAAGAGACGACTTTATTTCTCAAATTGTCTGTTATACAGCAATTAAGAACAAAACCGCATTTACATAAAGCTTTTAGCTGTATTGCAATAGTTTAATTTGTTTGATTCAGTAGGGTTACAATCTTCTGCCCCCCAATAGATAATCACATTTCATGGAATATGGGTACACTGCATCTTGCATTAAATTGAGATAATTCTCAAGCTTGTTTTTCGTTGTATTGGTATATCAGTTGATGTGGGTTGAGGCTGGGAGATAATAGTTCATAATTTAAGATTTGAAAATTATGGGCATTATTAATGAAGAGAAACTTGCTTGGTTGCTGTTTGTCAGGCACAGTCTGATGGGTCTGTTTATGAAGACCCCATAATGCAGAAGAAATGAGAATAAAGTGAATTCTGATCACGTGAGTCCCATGAATCGACACCTATGTGAAGACAAAGCTAGCCAGCAATCTTACTACTATAAACTTTCTAAAACAGGTAAGGTAAAAATACTAATTTGAATAAATTGAAGCAGTGAATTATACAAAACATTTTAAAAGAACTTAGGTTTTAAGTACAAGCAATCCCTATATTGCAATAATTTGAATTGTGAATACTATCTTTGTTGTTCCTTTTGCAAATAGCAAGTAATATCTGGATATTACCTTACTCATGGAATGGCAGCAGGGGAGATTCCATGCCTGTGCATGATGCAAGTTGTACTTTCAAATAAATTTTTATGCCCAACTTGCAAATTTTATTAATTTGTAACAAAACAAAAATTAGCAAAGTAGATACATATTCACCACATTTTAAAAATTGGGAAATTGAGTCTTAAAGTGTAAGAGCCAGTATTAAAACTTGATTTTGTGTCATGATAGCCTGATCTCTTTCTGCTGTGCCAACTTTCCTACTTTGTAAGGAGGGAAATTCAATTCATTCCTATCTACAGTGTTATCAAGAAAGCATAAAAGGAGAGCTGTAAGACTAAAGAGCCCTGATAGCAGCGTGGTTAAGAGTTTGGCTGCTAACCAAAGGGTTAGCAGTTCAAATCCACCAGCTGCTTCTTGGAAACCCTATGGGGCAGTTCTACTCTGTCTTACAGCATCACTATTTGGAATCTACTCAGTGGCCAACAGGTTTGATTTGGTTTGATAAGACCAAGAAAAATATATAAATGACTTTGGAGAAGATTAATTATAAGGAAATATACTATATATTACATTATTTTGATAAATTTGGAAATCTCATTAAAATATTCTCTTATGAAACACAAATTAGGATTGAAGAAGAAATAGAAGACTTAAATAACCAGTAGTGATTGGAAAAAAATGTTAGTTATTACCTCCAAAATATTTCTAGGCCCAGATAGCTTTACTAAATAAGGTGATTCTTAGTTTTAAATATCAAATCATTCTCTTGCTCTAAAAAATAATATGGAGCATAATGCCATTAGTGAGATCCAAAGTATTTAGCATAGTAAAATATTTTGTTCCATTTACTTCCCCTGCCCTACCCCGAGATTAGAGCTTTGGCCTCCTGTTTGGGAAGGCCTGGGTGAAGGACTGGAGCCAGTGGGTATATCTTAATTCATGTGATAGCAGGATGTGGTCTCAGGGCATTAATGTATTTGGAATTTTTTAAAGCTCATTTTCTGGAATAAGCCTAATTCATATTAAACCTGACAAGATAGCAAAAAGAAGAGCAGCAGGTTTTCATTTTAAGGATATACACACAAACATCCTAGAAAAATACTAACAAATTAATTTCAGCAAATGTTAAATTAATGATATACTAGTACCAAGTTGTCATATCCCCAACCTTAATATCTGGGACTTGGACATTAACCTCCATGCTGTAATAGAATGAGAAGCCTATTTGAGGTAGGGAGGTAACCCTAAGACCCCTGCATAAAGCCAGAAACCGAAAGGCTGAAGTCCCAGGAAATAAGATTTTATAAACTGTCTAAGGAGGGAGCAAGAAAGTTTGACTTTAGGGTTCTGAGTTGGAGGGTGAAGAGTTTTGAGAGAAATCAAAGCCCCCAGCCTGTGCCCTGCATAGATTCAGAGCCCAAATTTCTATTAATAACATTGTGGAGGTGACTGAGGAATGTGAAATTAGTATAAAAATTGGTCCCAAGCAAGAACCTACCCCTCTGACACTTGACAGGAGCATGCATACATGGCATCATTCTGAGCTTGGGGACACTTCAGTTTCCCAAGCCTCATAGGCTCCCACAGAAAAACTAAGCTTTGCTTAGATGAACTTACAGCAAGAAATTATGAAACCAAATGAGATCTACCAAGAGTGAGTCAGCAACACAAAAAAAGGAGCATTAGTTCCTCAAGAATGTGAGATAATAGAAAAACATGATAAGTAGTATAAAGTAAGAATTGAGATCTTTGAAGGTTCTATATAAATAGAACCTATCTTCCATACCTATGTCCTGAAAAGAAAAAATTCAAAGAAGTGGCAGATGGAGGCTAAAATTCCATCCGAAATAAAACATCGAGGATATGGATTATGTCTGCAGCAACTGTGCCTCCTAATGCTGAATCCCAGAGGTGAGCAGACTACCCACCGGTGGGAGTTCCTGAGTGCTGCAAAGAGTTAATGTCCTTGGCTGCTAACCAAAAGTTTGGAGGTTTGAGTCCACCTAGAGGTACCTCAGAAGAAAGGCTTGATGATCTACTTCTGAAAAAATCAGCCATTGATAACCCTGTGGAACACAGTTCTATTCTGATATACATGGGGTCACCATAAGTCAGAGTCAGTTAGACAGCAACTGATTTTTTCTCATAACCCACTCAGTCTCAGGTAGTACTGGGTCATGTGAAGGACAGAGCTTATTCCCAAAGAGTTGCAGAGAACACCTCAGCCTGTGAGAATCTTGTTCCCAAAAGGACAAAGAGCAGAACTGAGCCAAGCATCCAGCCATTCCTCTCAGATTTAGGAATCAAATCACTTCCTAGAAGCAGAGAAAGGCCAGGAGTGGTTCCCATGTCATGGAAACCAGAATGGAAAAAGGCATTTCCTTCTCCATATAAATATAAAATGATTAAAGGAGATAAGGTATAAACCCCTTGCCATCAAGTCTATTCCAACTCATAGTGACCCTATAGGACAGAGTAGAACTCCCCCTGTAGGGTTTCCAAGAAGTGGCTGGTGGATTCAAACTGCTGACCTTTTGATTAACAGCTGTAACATTTAACCACTGTGCCACTGGGGCTCCAAAGGAGAGTATAGGAACCATAAAGAATACTTTATGGAAATAGAACTTCTAGAAATGGAAAAAACTCTAAAATTAAAAGGTCAGAAATAAACTTTAAAAAAGTAGATTAGGCAAAACTAATGAGAACATTTCTGAACTGAAATATAAAACCCACTGTAGATGTTAATAAATTGCCCAGAATTCAGCAGAGAAGTAAAAAGATGGAAAACATGAAAGAAGCTGAGACACGGAGGAGAGAATAAGAAGATCCAGCAAAGGATGTGGCTAACATACCAAACATCTGTTCCCAACTCTTCTTTCCATTCCTGCCTGTACTTAGAGACTAGAAATGTTAAAATTTCCGTTTTTCCAGTCCTGCATTTAGCCATAGGTGGCTAAATGAGATACAGGTGGAAGTCTGTTAGCACTGCCTCCTACTACCTTCCTGATTTTAATATGGATGATGGCTGCGGCTTGCTACCATTTTATGGTGATGAAAGAAAGGCCAAGAGAATCTCATTGGCATGACCTGCTTCCCTCAGGGCTTCTTGCTGTGTGAGAAAATAGAACCTTATTTATTCAAGTCGTTGTTGGGTTTTTCCGATACATGTAGTTGAAACTATTTCTAACTTTTATTTTATTTTACCGAAAACAATAGACAGAATGGGGGAGAGGCAATAGATACATTTTTCAGACATATAGGGAAAAAAAAAGACTGAACACCCATGTGCCCATGAACTATGTTTAAAAAGTATTGTTATTTTGCCTTATTTTATCTATTTTTCCTTTGAAATGTTATAAACTACAGATGTCATGACATTTCACCTATAAATACCTCAGTAATCAGCTCTAAAAAAGAACATACAACCATGATTCCATGAGCACATCTGTTATGGATTCGATTGTGTCCCCACCAAAATATGTGTAGAAATCCTAACCCCTGTACCTGCGGTTGTTTCCTGTTTGGAAATAGTTTTCTTTTGTTATGCTAATAGTCATGTCAAAGTAGGTTAGGTCCTAAACTTAATTACTTCTGAGTTATAAAAAGAGCACAGTAGGCACAGAGACACACACGGGGAGTGAAGAAGACAGACAGATGCATCTGCAAGCCCAGGAACACCAAGGATTGCTGGAAGCCATTAGAAGCTGAAATAGACAAGAAAGGACCTCTCTCTAGAGCCACACCCTGAATTTGGACTATAGCCTCCTGAACTGTAAGAAAATAAATTTCTGTTCATGAAAGCTACCAACGTGTATTTTTGTTATGGTAGCACTAGGTAGTTTACACAACACCTAACCAAATAATTCTGAGCATCAGTTAACGTCCAGTCCAAATGCATTTGTCAGGGGGTTTGTTTAATCAAGATGTGATCAAACACCCAGCATTGTATTGGGTTTAATGTTTCTTAATTTGCTCCTTTTTTGGGTGGTGGTGTTCACCCAAAACTTTTATATTTAAATAAAATTGATAGGGGAATGGCATATGTGGAAAAAATACAATATTTTTGACAGATACGGTATAATCTGTTTATTGCATATGGAGCTTTTACAAATTAAAAAAAAAAAAAATCCCAGTAGAAAATGGGCAAAGAACATGGGTCAGTTGTTCAAAAGAGAAGAAATACAAATGTTCAATAAATGTGGAAAAAATTTTCAAACTCATTGGAAAGCAAAAGACATTTAAATAAAAATAAGACCATTTTTTCATCAAACATAGTGAATAACAACAACAAATACAAAAACTCACTGTACCAGTACTGTTCTAAATACATTACTTAACTATTCCAACAATTTTGTACTGTTTCCATTATTTTACAGGTGAACAAAGTGAGGCACAAAAAGAGTAAGATCACATAACAGATGAAGCCAGAATTTAAACCTAGGCTCTTTGACTCTTAAGATTTCAGTGCTCTTTAACTGCTACCGTTTATTCCCTAAGATTTTAATCAAGTATAACCAGTGTTAGTAAGGTTACCTAGGAGCAGGTACTTTTTTACACTATTG